TTTCAGAACAGAAATAGATTAAATAAGTGTGTCAAAAAATTGTCTGGCTGACAGCTATGTGCTACCACGGACTGATTCGATGTTTCCAAGACAATGCAGTGATTCAGCACCTAAGGTATGTGCATGTGGATAAACAGGGAGTCCCAAAGGGATCTTTACTGTAAACCCAAAGAACACACACACGTACAGCTTGCACACCAGGCAATATATACTGCAAGAGCAACTGATGTGCGTTTTTCTCTGCAGCACTGAAGAGCACAAAATGTAAAAAGCAATGGGGAGGTGAAGTAAAACAAACTCTCAGTATTCAGAAATTAATACAGTAAATTGTACACCCCAAATTATTTTTTAGCATTGCATTCTCAAAACACAACTCTTCAACTCTGGTACTTTCCTCCTCTCATCTGAGCAACAGCACAGCACTGTGTCCAATTTAAATTTGGTCCACTGTCACGTACATAAAACAGGACTTGGTGAGAAAAGGACAAATGATGATCTGGGCAATACAAACAGAAAGCAGTATCAGCTCTTAACTATGCAGACTAATAGGTCCACAACAACTGCGCCAATGTAACATCGCAAACCACACATACCAACAGATCGTCTCTTGTGCTCTCAATATTGAATAAGTATGTGTTTTGTTTCTTTTTTTATCGCACAGCTAAGTCAAAACAGGAAAGCCCACTTGGTAATGCAATTTTATGGTCCATTCAAGACAAGAAAGGAGAAACGCAAACGCCATGTTTGAGACGGAAAACTTAATACTTATGAAGATTTCAGAATAAGGATGGCCTTTTTATTACCCTTAGTGGAAAAAAAAAGAAGAAATCACTCCGGCAATCACTTTCTTTCGGCAAGCAGAGAAAAAGCAATCTGATCCAATGTGGGCAGAAATCTGAGTAGGTCACTGTACACCATGATAAAATTCCCTAATCCTTAGCCAAGTTTCCCTGAGGGGGCCCTCCTCCTACTCCCAACACTTTCCAAGCTGACTTTTCCATTCCCCCTCACCCTCCCCTGCATCTCTTTCATTTCCCCTACCTTACAGCCTTGATATCTGATCCCCTACTGGTGCTCAGGTTTCAGTTTTTACAGCTTAGGCTGCCTATTGCTGTATACATTCCTTTCTCTCTGCTTTACCCTGATTACTTACCATGGCTTATTTTACACTGGTCCAGATGAAAGCAGTTCAGATGAAGGAAACATAGTCAGACTGTTTAGCTTTTCTAGGTATGATCCCTCACAAGGGCACATTGTGTTCTTTTTTTTTTTCAAATAAGGAAAAGAAAAAAAATCATAACTGTTTCAATCCTTTTTATATATATATATATTTTGCTGCTGTCTGGGACTTTGTAGCTATGTGCGGAGCCTGAAACAATGCAGAGCTATTTGATAATGGCACAGATTCATTTCATCCCTGATCTTCCCTGCCCCTGGACTGTTTGTGTCTGTGGAGCTGCGGCACGCAGGCTGTGTCTCTTTAGGGAGAACACTGAATCCAGACTCAGATGATGCACACAGGACAGTCTCCTAACAGAATGCACTGAATCAGGCTCTCTATTGCCTCTGTGGAAATCAGTCTTTGTCATATCACCGCTTTTTCCGAAACCAAGACATGCTCAGGATAAGCTACAATGGCAAATTTTCCAAAAGTCTCTCTCAGTTATTCTCCTGTTAGCTGCCAGTCAGTGAACACATTTGCTCTTTTATTTCAGTAAGGTTTTAAGTAAGAGTGATGACATTGCGCCGTTGCTTTCCTTTAACACGCTATCTTATTACAAAACAAAAGACTGGTCAGGCTACTCTTCCCATTATTGAAGTGGAGTAGCCAAGCCTTGGAATGTCCAGAGAATGCACATACAGTAACTGGACTGAACTACAAGCAGACAGCTGGATACGTCAGTTAAAAATGTTTCTATTGATTCGAAATAACCATGTCCAATGAATCTTTAATCAATAAAGAGCCCTGCAAATGTGGAGGGAATTTTGTCCCTCAAGTGTTTCAAGATGCACTTATAGCTGGTGACATGTCTATGAATAATGCCTAGGAGCCAGAAGTTAATGCATTTAAGCCCTTCCCTCTTGTCAACTGCTGGAGTTTTCCCCTGGTAGCTTTTCAGCGAGATGCTTATTCACTATGAATAAAGTGTTAATTATGACTTGCAACTGCTGCACAAATCTGACAAGAGTGATACCTCTTGAATCTTTTGTTTTTCCTCTAAAGCAGGTGTCCTGATCTGTCTTTTTTTTTAAAAAAAAAAAAACACTTTTCCAAACGTTGCCTGCTGGAGAAAGACAACCCCGCTCTAATTACACATGAAAAAGGTGACATTGGTATAGAGACTGGGAAATAAAGAACCCATATCCAACCTATTAAAATACCGTAAATACTGTTCACAGCCCAATGGCTACACATTGTACAATGCAGTGACCCACACTGATGTTGTCGAACAACATCCACAGAAATACATATGCGCATTGCAAAACCACTCGGGAACATCCCTTAACCTAAAGGATGAAGGTGGTACAGTACATACAGTACTAATGCTTCCCTCAGCATACCCAATATATCGAGACCTACACGGTAGTACTAATTATAATACATAAATTTACAAGAATATATGTTCCAAAGTCTGCATATACAACAAAGTCCTACTGTACCTCACTAAGATAGTCTTAATGTTCGGTAATACTGGATACATCAAATCGAACACGTACACTATACAATGTACAGTACTGTAGATGAGAAATTATAAATATAAAAAAGAAAAGTGGTCAAATTGTAATTGCTTACTTTTATCGACTGCACTGCAGGTATGTAAAATAAATATTTTATCTGAGTTCATGGCATTGTTGCTTTAACGCATTCATAAAAGATTACCTCGTGTATAGTTACGGTACTCCACACAAGTTTTCGTGCTGCCTGCTAAACCGTTGAGATGAGGTTTGAGACTTTGGAATCACTAAGGTATTCATAAAAAGTAAGACCGCTTTCCAGGCTTAATTCCATGTCTTTTTAATTACTATTATCGCATTAGTAAAAGATTGTGTAATTTTTCCCTTTCACACAATGTTGTTTTTGTTTCTTCTCGGCAGTTCAGACAAACATCTGTTATAGAAGAACAACTATCTCCCAAACCGCCGAGTGCGCCTGCGGCCAAAGTAAACAAAACAAACCCAGCAGAACCAGCACAGTCAGCCTTTATATCAAGCAAGGATAACATTTCACATGTTTTGATTAAAATTAGTTAATTTGTAATTCTAAACCCCGTGGATACCAAAAGCTGCAATCCATATAGTTTACACACAACCCACATTTCCTCACATAAGGGAGTGCACAGGGGCTGTCTTACAAAACACTCGTCCACTCGTCTTTTTTTTACTACTGTACTACTATGACGTTTAAAAGCATTATTTGTAATATACATGTTTATGAATCTGTTGTCTTTGTTGTCTGTATGCTTCACGGTGTTTCGTTCTTCTAAACCGAGACCCTAACACACCAAACTGACGGCGATTCAGCACCCGAAGGAAACAGTAATTAATTAATAATGGATTTTCGGCTTGTTTTCAACATCCATTGCAAAATGCAAAGTCAACAAATGCCACTAAAATAACGCAAAAATCGACTCGAGGTTATTCCTGTTCAGATGACTACATGGAACATCTACCGCTCACAGAGTTTATGCGTCGATGTAAGTAGAAGGCTTGAGGCTAAGATTTGCCTTCAAGAGGAATTTCGACATGCTATTAGACCATTCAACGTAGATAAACCATTCTAGTGGCTAGTGTTGGCAGGTGTCTTAAAATATCCAATAAAACACGTGAAGATGTTAAACGGTGAATACCTTGGAGTGTGGCATCACGATCCTCTATTGCAAACGTGCACCGGAGATTCGTCGCTCTTTAATTTCTATTTCAGTTACACGTTTATTGGGTTGCATTTTATTCAATCCAGCTCTTTTAACAATCGGCTTCATCATCTGCATTGCACACAAGTTTCTTTGAATGAGAATCTCCCTGAAAATAGACCGACGTTACGAATAAATGCTTCGATAATCGTCTTGGGAAAAAAAATACACTCCACCCTTGAAACGTCTTGCAACAGTATGTACACAAATAATTAGCACATGAACAACAGCACAAAGACGCTATATTTTACTGCCAAAACCCGAGGAAAATGTTTAGCTATGTTTCAAATATACAAAGGATCCATGTCGCTGGCACATGTATACGTTTTACACTCCTAAGAAACAAAGTGCTGTTGTGCGGCGCGTGCACTCTACAAGGCACATCTGGAATGCCAGCCTACAGCACTTCTGGTCGAGCACAGCTGGGCTGGCATCGCTTACTCACCGTGCACAGCAGCTCTTCAGCTATGTCGGTGCCGCCGCGCTTAAAACAGAATATCGAAGAATGTTTGACATAGTAATCCCAGGCTTTTTTCTATTATGAGAGTATTTTTATATACCTACCACTGGATTTTCCACAAAAAAAGTGAAAAATGCTTTGAAAACATGTGGCTCTTATATATAGTTTTCGTAGGTACATATTCTGAATTTTTCATTAGAATTAATTACCAAAACGCTCTTTTTTTTTTGGAAAAGGAGCCAGAGCGTGTTGTGCCGTACAGTAAGGGAAAATGCCTCACCATTCAACTTATACGTTGGCTACATGAAGGTACTTCAGTGGCGAGCGAACCTCGTGAAAGGCATGTTGAACAGGAAAAACGAAAAATATTGGACTTTCATAAAGAAAGTGCACAGGTGTAAGTGCCGACGAAACTGAAATAATAAGAAATCACATCGATGTATATATGAAAAATCAAAGTTCGTCAATTTTCCGAATTGCAGACTGAATTCGTGTCTGTTTTCATCCCTGGAGGCGGAGCTGAGTCGCGCTAAGTGCATCCACGAAAATGACAAGCGAGCCTTTTCAGAATTCCGTTTGTTTCTACGCAAATTAAAAAGCGAGCGCTAGGGCAGTAAACCTGAACCTACCTTCATTTCCTCGTTTATTTCTCGTTTCACTGGGTGAGCCGGTTTTCTGCTTCTTTTATTTTCTGGTGGTCTGCCTTCTTTCTCCATCTCTGCCATTTTTTTTGTTATTTCTGTCAATATTTGCGATAGGGGCTGCCCGAATGGGCGACGGGCGGGGGTGTTCTAAAGGTAAAGAAGAGCCGCTGTCATTCGCGAGGATAGCCTGGGTGAAGCTGGTGATGCCAGTGAAGGTTCCTGATGCCCAGCTGAGTCAGCCATCTTCTGTCTCTTTTTTCCCAGTCTGTATGTGAGTTGGTGTGAGCTCCTTGTGTGCAGCAGCCGAGGGGTTTAGAACAAACCCAGACAGAGGGGAGGGGCTTCTGCTGTAACCCTATATGAGGCGCTGATACCAGGAAGGCTATTTCCTCCCAATTCTCCACAGATACATTTTCATTTTGACACCATGTGCTCTGAAGACTGCCGCTCACTTTGTGTGAATGGAACTAATCCCTGAATCCAATTAACTCGGTTCCATCTCTGTCGCATCAGCTTGGGCACAGCGAAATGTCTCTTTCTTGAAGCAGAAAAAAAAAGGTTCATGTGTTTTTTTCCTTAGGTACCCTACATCCCAGTGATGCCCACCGTGAAAAATACCACCTGTGCTTCACTAGTGCATCTGCGTGTTTCATTTTGACCGAAGCACATTCTTATTTTTTTAATGTTCTTGTTTCTTAACAGTGCTTCATGTTTTTTTTAAAAAAGCAAATCTGACTGAGGTTCTCATTACCACCTGCGTCTCTGGAATGCAATCGGAAGAGCTAAAATAATTCTCAGATCTTGGTTTGTCTTCGACCACTGAAATGATTTAGTTTTTCACTCATAAAAGATGTGTTCAGAAATTATCTTACTGTACAGCTGTGGTACAAAAAGCAAAACTGACATTTTTTAAGATAGAAAATACTGTATATCACCCTGCAACTCACAACTTGCAACCCACAGAAGCTCAGCAGGTGTGAGCCTGGACAGTACCTGCATAGGAGACTTGTTGTGAAAGGTAGGGTTGCTGCTGGAAGAGGTGTTAGTGGGGCCAGTAGGAGGTACTCACCCTACAGTCCGTGTGGATCCTAATGCCCCAGTATAGTGACGGGGACACTATACTATAGAAAGGTGCCGTCCTTCAGATGAGATGTAAAACTGTGGTCCTGATTCTTCATGGCCATTAAAAATCCCAGGGTGTTTCTCAAAAAGGAAAAAAAAAGGTGTTAACTCCAGTGTCCTAGCTAAATTTCACTCCTGGTCTTTATCAATTATGACCTCCTAATAATCCCCATCTATAAATTGGCTTCATTACCCTGCTCTCCTCCCCACTGATAGCTGGTGTGTGGTGATCGTTCTGGCGCACTATGGCTGCCGTTGCATCATCCAGGTGGGAGCTACACATTCTCCCCATTACCTGCAAAGTGCTGTGAGTGGAGTGTCTAGAAAAGCGCTATATAAGTGTAAGCAATTAATAATATTTTATTCATAGTCTTTGACTGCCATTGGAAGAATGAGACCCAAAGGAGAGGGAGCACACAGTGGGTTGCAGTAAGCTTTGAAAACAGGAATATTGCTTCACATAGGTTGCAGTGTAAAGCAAATGTTCTCACACTAGGAGTCAGGACCCAAAGTGATCATAAAATTGAGCAAAGTGTAGTGGAATCATAGGAATCTACAGAAAATCCATGACCAAACCCAGTACATTTTAAAACAGACAAAAATAAAGCATGAAGTGCAGTCCAAAGGAAATAAGCAGAAACCCTTAAAAATGCAGGATGCACATTGACAAGTGCAGCTCAGCCTGCCAGGATTCGATCCCTGTCTCTTGTATGCTTTGATTGTGTCTATTAATCTACTAATCACCACTGCCACTCCCTAGACAGTGGTTAGCTCCACCACTACAAAAGTCTGGGCCCTTCAGTGCAGGATAAGTGTATAGTACTGTATATGGTACCAGTGTCAAATACAGCACTGCTCTGACCCTGCCAGGGTTCGATCACTGTGCCTATCAGGTGCAGAGCCACACAGCACCACTATCCAATTTGGCAAAAAATTTTACTGTGCCATAAGTCCAGCACCTCTGCTGAAGTTTTACACTTCCAGAGGGGCGAAGCCACTTCTCTAACTGGCTTACTGCACCCTTACATACACTCTTGAATCTGATTTATTTGACTGTCAGCATTTTGGCACAGAAGAGCCTTCATCAGGTCCTTCTTTTTGATTGCTTCATGCCACTGTAAAACCATGGCACAAGTGTGAAAATCTTAAGAGAGAGAGATATATATATACACAAAAGTCAACAATCAAAGCAGTCAAATATTTTCTTCCAGTCAACCATATAATATATTTTATTTTCTAACTGCTTCTTCCAATTTAGGGTCTTCGGGGAGCTGAAGCCTATTCTGGCAAAGCAGGGTACAGTATGCCCTGAGCAGGATGCCAGTCCACTGCAGGGCGAACAAATAAAATACAGACATGCACACACTCACACTAGAGCCAGCTTTCCCAAAATCCAATTAACCTCCTGGTATGTTTTTGGACTACAGGAGAAAACCACCAAAAATTCAGGGAGAACATACACTACAAATTCCACACTAATAGCACCCCAGGTCAGGAACTGAACTCAGGGTTCCAATGCTGCAAGACACCAATGCTAACCACTGCACCACTGTGCCACCCAGATTTACTGAAATGTCATGTTTCCTTGTACTGTTTGTACAGTAAGTCACATGTGTGTGTAACACATAGCTGCAAGACATATTTCTGGGAACTCTGACAATAAAGTACAGTATTATCACATCATATATATTGCTCTGATTGGACATTCCCATTGCTTTAATATGACAACAAAATAAATTGATATTATAACACCCATTAAGCACTTTTAATTCTATATCATCTGGAGCGTGAGGAGAAGGAGTCAGTTAATCACATCATTACTCGGCAACTTCGTTTTATAGCCAGTGGCCCTCGCTGACAACCTATAACAACCTCGTGTACCTTGTCTTCAAGCACTCTCCCAGTCACATTTTTAGACATGGCATAAGTGAGCGAAATATGGAAAGCAGTACAATATCTGTTGGGAATATACAGTATATAAAGGTTAATATAAAAGTAGGCATACTGCCTTTCCCCTTAAGGTTTACAGATGCCAGTTTGTTACACTTTTGCAAACACACAAAGCAGTATTAACAGCTGGGGAAATGCAAACAGTGATACAATTTTTCTTTGCTCTGTGATGACCCAAAATCTGAAGAAACAAAACACTGTGCATTTAAAATCTAAACAATAAACTTTTACTTTATTATATAAGTTAAAAGAATTATGTTTATGAAATCAGTAGCTTTAGTACATTAATGACTAACTTATGATCTTATGAACGTATGCACTTATGATGGGAAAACAAGGCCCTTTCATTATGTGCTTTACCGTGATACATACTGTATGTATAGCTTTGTAGTGTCACACTGGTTTTCAGCTCTCAAAATGTGTGGAGAAAATGTTTGAGAAACTGACTCATTTTTAGTGTAACTTAAGTCATAGTGTAACTTAGCACATAGCTGGAAATATAGCTTGCTTTGTTTTATGTGTTCACTGTATATAATATTATTTTACAGAAATTAATTTACTTTTGAAAGTTGTAGACAATGAAAGGGGAAAATGGCTGATGTCCATATGAATATTGCACTATATTACTGAAAAAAATGAAAATTCTATCCTTACCAAGGAAGTCCTGAAAGTAAACTACATATCTCAGACTGAGCAAAGACAAAGTTCTGTGTTAAGTAATATTAGCACATAACTGATAGAAGTAGTTAAATAAACAAATCTCCAAGGCTTGATGATATTCTGCCAACTGCACTTTAGGAGACAAGAAATGTTATTCACAAACTGTTAATAACACTCCTCTAATAGTCACTCAATCCAGAGGTGATATCCAATGACTTGAACATTGGTCATGTAGTGCTCACCAATTAAAGGGATGACTATACAAACCAAGTAACTCTAGACAAGTAAGTCTTAATTCTATTACATGCAAGATTATGGAAACAATAATTAGAATGTATGGCAATATGATTCTTAGGGATAGTCATGAAGGGTACGTCTTGCTTAACTATGTTTTTAGTTATGTGACTACATTACAGCGATAATAAATTCAAAGCAGTGTCAGATTTTCTGACAATCAGAAAGCAATTAATCATTTGTGTTCGATAAAGTTCCCCAAAAAAGATTAATTCTTAAAGAATAGGTGGTAGGCAATGAGGAAATGTATTCATTTGGAATTGGTTATTGGACAGAAAACAAATAGTTAAAGGGTGATTGCTCAAATAGGTATGAAGACGTTAGTGAAGTACAGTAAAAAGGCCGCTGCTCTTCCTAATTTCTAATAATGATTTAGATTCTGGTCTAGTTGGTAAACTAGTAAGGTTTGAAAATGATACAAAACAGGAGGTTAACGAAACACAGTAGAAGTTGCAAGAAAAATTCAAAATGACTTTCGATTCAGGGAGAATACCTAGCACATGACATTTAACACAGACATTAAGTGCAGGTGTCTGCATGGTGGCACAGTGGCTAGCATTGCTGCCTTGCAGCTCTGTGGCCCTACCTTCAATTCCTGAGGTTATTTCTGCATGGAGGTTGTATCTTCCCCCCATTTTTGCATGGGTTACCTGCGGGTGCTTCAATTTCCTCTGACAGTTCTAAAACACACTGGAAGGTTAATTGGCTTCTGGGAAGATTGGCCCTGGTGTGAGTGTGCACTTGTCTGTGTGTGCCCTGTGATGGACTGGAGTCCAGTCCAGGGTGTATCCTGCCTTGTGCTTGTTGCTTGCCAGGACAGGCTTCAGCTCCCCTGTAATCACATATTGGCTAGAACATTAGGAATGGATTAAATACAGAGTTTTTACATACAGATAAGAAAAACATTTACAATAGATACAAATAAGAAACACAGCCTGAAGAAAATATTTATAGTGACATATCATTACTTTCTTCTAGACAACATGGAGATTCAAATATAATGTTTGGGTTAAGTATGTAAAAAGCATAGCGTTTAACTTAAATCGAGGGATGTTATGTTAAAATGAATACAATTCATTAGCTAGACCTCATTTAGAATACAATTTGATCACCACATTACAAAAAAAATGATACTGCTGCTTTGGAATCTGTCCAGAGAAGAGCTATGAGATACATTCCCAGGCTCAAAGGGGTGTCCTACACTGACAGGATAAAAGAACTAAATCTTTTTACTCTTGAACATAGAAGACTACAAGGGGACAGAGTATATCAAGTATTCAAAATCTTCAAAGGCATTGACAAAGTCAACCCAGTGGACTCCTTCTGATTCAATAATGAAACATAAACCAGACTGCACAAATGGAAACTATGGGAAAGCA